GACACAGGGAAGAGGTAACTATGGGGAGGAAGTGGGAGGGAAGCTGTTGCATTGTGGTAAATTGTAGTCAATGTCATGAGACAAAGTGTATATGAGCTGCTGTGCGGAAAGTCAATTTGCTCTGTAAATTTTCACCCAAATCACACACACACACACAGAAAAAAAAGGATTAGTGCAAGAATAGGTCACATCTTCTGTAAGGCTCTGAATATGAGGCAGTAAATGTGAAATGTTTTTAAAAAAATCAAATGCAGGCAGTGAATATCTGTCAAAACATATGCTAAAAAGTGTAAGGATAAAACAAATTTTGGAGACAAAGAACTCTATTTTATTCCAAGTTTGGCTTTCAACTATTAAAATACAGTAAAATTCTAAGTTCTTTAAGATGTAAAGTGGTACCTGTTTTAAAGGTAACATTTTTCCTGAAACCTAAGGAAAAATTCTTTGAGAATGGAAAGAGAAAATTCTGTCCTTTTTTTCTTCCTTTAGTCTTTGAACTAGATTAACAATACTCTATTTAAGATGATCCAATTTGGTCCTTCTGAAGTCTTCAAGAAGGAAACACAAACTTAAGCACACATGTAACTAAACATGATGTGGCATTCACTTTGCCTAAAAATCACATACTATTTTTGATTTAACTATCCATTGGTAAAATCAAGCACTCAGTGGGGAAGAAGAAGTTGTTCTATCTATTTCAATTTTTCACTATTCAAAAAAATCCAGAAGCAGAGCCATACTGTGTGCAACCAACAGAATCTTTCATGATTTGGAGGACCTCAGAGAAATGACCCTTTCTCCAGATCACCAGATTCTCTTCAAACCCTGCCCTCTTGCTTATCTAATTTCCAACAGCAGAAATGTACTTACGCTTTTGTTACCCAATTCAGCAAATGTTTGCTGGGCCTGGCACCCCTGCTTTATTTCTATGCCCCCTGAATACAGTCAGTCATTCTAGAATTCTTTCTGATAAAACAGGGCACATGATGGCACATCACAGAGCAGCCCTCTGCCCAGAACACGTGACAAAACAGATCGCCTTTCAAATAGCAACACTGGGACCAGGCTTATTCCTTGTGAGCTTCTCTGTCAAGCAACGTGCACAAACTGTACGGATCATGTGGCAGTTCTCATGAAACTTTAATTGTCAGCAGACACAAGCAGGATCATGTCTGCCTCAAAAGTATATCTCAAATTCATTGGTGGTTTGGGTCTCCAAAATCATTCTGTCATATTCAGTGCAGTAATTTTCTTCTTGTAAAATCATTCTGTTCGCAAGAGGAAGAGGAAATTGACTGTTGTTTTCAACTAACAGTAAATTTCAAATAGGTTATGAATAACTCCTACAATCGCTTGTGGAATGATCCATAATACTGAGAAAATGCTCTGAGGCTGGGTAAACATCAAACTGGGTAAACATCAATGATACTTGGTAGAGGTGAGACAGTATTAGAAATGCAAATGAAACCCTTTATTCAGGATCCAACACTGACTCTCAATTCTCTCTCAAGGGCCCTTGAAAATGGACCAGCAATACAAGTGTTCTAGCAACAACAAACTCGTTACATTCTGCTAGTCTACAAATGATTCAGGTAATGCCACCTCTTGCTCTGACCTGTTATACAATGGTTAGTTGCTACTCAAAAGAGGTAACTAGTCACAGGGGACATCAAGCTCAATTGGCATAACATACTACACAAAACATTGTTCCACGTCCTACTTTGGCGAGTAGCAACTGGGATCTTAAAAGTTTGCAAGCAGCCATCCAGATGCAACGTTTGGTCTCTCTCCTTGTCCAGAGCAAAGAATGAGGAAAACCAAAGATTCATGGAAACAATTAGTCCAAGCAACTGGTACACCATGAGATCCGCAGCCTATATGACTATGAAACCAGAACAACTAGATGGTGCCTGGCTACCACGGTCAACCACTCGGACGGGGATCAGTGTAGGAGATCCTGTGTAGACATGGAGAACAATGTGAAACAAAACTCAAAATCATTTGAAAAAAAAAAAAAGGGGGGGGACCAGGTTTGCTGGTCTGATAGAGCCTGGGGAAACCACTGAGACTATGGCCCCTAGCTGCCCTTCAGGTCTGGAATTGAACCCACACCTGTGGCTTCCAGCCAAACAAAAGACAGGCATGAGTTGAACATTTACCTGAGATAGATACACTCCTTGTAGAGAACAATTATGGAGAAAGAAGGGCTGTATATGCACAGGGAGACAGCTCAGGGGGCAGGAGTACATGGAGGGATGGGCACAGGGAAGAGGTTACTATCAGGAGGTAGTGGGAGGGGAGCTGTTGTATTGTGTTAAATTGTGGTCAATGTCATGAGACAAAGTGTGTGTGAATTTGCTCTGTAAACTTTTGTCCAAATCACAGAAAAAAAAAAAAAAAAAAGAGGTGACTAGAAAGGTTTAACTGGGAAGAGTATTTCATAGCAAGTAGGTATGAGTCAGGTCTGACTTGATGGCACATAACAACAACAGCAGCAACAGGACAGGGAGGCAGGATAGGAAAAAAAGTCCAGCTAATGAGTTCTCACTCAGTGAATACTAGGAAAAACAATACCAAACTTTAGTTCTCAAGCTCCGCTGTGTTGCAGGAAAAGACCATTAAACGTGGTTTATTTTGTTTTTGTGATAACACCTAGTGATTAATTCCTTTTTCAGTTTATATAATGCCTCTCTTCTGCAGAGGGCTAGTGTTGGGACTTTAAACACATTTCTAAAATACACTATGCACTTCTGAAATACTTTATTTATAAGTCCTCCTGTAGAGAAAATCAGTCAGTAAGAAGTTCTTGATCATCAACTGTGTGTTCTCAATAACCCTGAATATCACAGAAGCACTGAAGTTTTCAAAGATCGCACCATCTAGTTGAGGAGCAAAATATCTGAGGCAACAACTAACAATACAAGAAAAACTATAATCAAGTGACAATTATGCGATACCATCTAAGTATCTGCTTTTATACCAAGAGGTGGGGCTTAAGGAGCCGGCAACAGGATATCCTTAGGCAAAACCTCACCCAATTAAAAATCAAGATAAATTACTTGTACTGTCCTTACGTGACTGAGCATATCCATCTTTCAAATACAAACATAGTTAAGGAGAAGAGGGAGTGCTTGTGGAGCAGCAGGGACTATTCAGCATCTTATTCCCTACTTACAGTCAGTCAATGAGTATTCACCAAACCTCTACCAGGTCCAAAGCACAGTTTACTGTTTTCACTTTTTTAAATCAAAATATGCCCTTCCACTTCCAAGACAGTAACTGCTGGACCAGTCTGGGCAGTCAGGCCAAGCCACATTACAGCATCATCAGTATACCGCCTAAGGCACAAGTGCTCCTGACCCGAGTTCCAAGCCCTTTACCGAAGACTCGACCTACAAATCCAACGGACGACAGGAAAATACGAACAGTGCAGAGCAAAGAGCCGTCTTCCACTTGGGAAAAGTCAGAAATGTTTTTCCAGAATGGCTCCGGCGGCTCAAGCGCCTTTCTCATTCCTTCTCCCTTCATTAACTGTATCCCCTTCTCACCCACATTTTATCAGCTTCCCTACCTACTCGGATCTCCCACCCCAACGATCTGCCACCCCCACCCGCTCTGTCCGCTCGCCCGCGGCGCGTACCTCTCTCTCAGTGAGATTCTTGTCCGGCCCTAGCAGGTACGGGGTCAGGAAGGGCTCCGACGGCCTGAGGCTGGCGAAGAAGCCATAGGCGCACAGGAGCGCGGTGGACAAGAACCAGCACTCGCGAGGAACCCGAGCCGTGCGCAAGAGCATGGTGGCCGCCGCCGCCCGCCGGGACACGGGGCCCGGAACATCCATCCGGGGAGCGAGGGGCGGAGACCCGGCCCCTTCCTTCTCCTCCTCTTTTTCCTCCTTGTCCAACTAGAATGGGCTTCTACTGCAGGCTCGGCAAGGGCACCTGTAACCAAGAGTGGCGCCTCCTACCGGCAGGGCCAGGCCGCCCAGGGCGCAAACACCGCCTCCGACCGCAACGCCCGGAGCAGTCCCCTTCAGCCTCTCCCTCACCATTCGCCGTCCAGCTGTTGTTGTTAGGTGCCGTGGAGTCAGACCTGACTCTAAACGACCCCACGGAATTGGTATCACTACGGAAGTAGATTGCCCAACCTGCCTTCCCAAGAGTGGCTGGAGGGTTTGAACCGCCGGACTTCCGCTTAGCAGTCTAGTACCTTGGGCACTACGCTACCGAACACAAGACACGCCCTAAGGCCCACCCTCCTCCTCCAGCCTTCAACTCCGTAGCCAATCAGCGCTGACGTTATCATTTGCCAGCTCTCCATTGGTCGGTGGCTCTAAGCCAACGGACAGCCGTGGAATGCAGGCTCCGGCGTCCTTAGGCTCTGGCGCGGAGGGCGGTTGGGGCTTCAGTCCGGTCGCAGTGGCTCGCCCCATCGGAGCGCGCTAGTCAGGTCGCGCGCCGCTGTCCCACACAGGCGGTGAACTCTATCAACCTCAGTGCTTCAGCTCAGTAATTTTTAATCACCTTTTCTAAGATTTCCGCACAAGTTATGTTCTCGGATAAGTTTGCCCTTGGCCAAGGGCAGTCAGAGGTTTAACCTTGGGGAGCGGGAATGCTAAACCTTTCCTCTAGCACTTACCTTGTTTTAAATTGTAGCTTCAGCTCCGATAGAAAGACACTGGAAGCTAAGAATCTTAACACGCAGGGCACTTAACAAGAGACTGAATGGAAGGAAGCAGGAAAAAAATAGCATGAGGAGAGTGAACAAGCTTGTCACTTAACAAAATAACTGTGATGTGCCCAATTAAAGGATTTTAGCTTGTCTCTCCAGAAGCTCTGGTGGTGTGGTGCCTGAGGCATTTGACTGTTAACTAGAAGACTGGTGGTTCAAATCCACCAGCCACTCTGTGAGAGGAAAACTGGGCAATCTACTTTCTTAAAGATTTATGGGACCAGGTTTGCATAGTGCCTGGTGGAACCACTGAGACTATGGCCCCTAGCTGCCCTTCAGGTCTGGAATTGAACTCACACCTGTGGTTTCCAGCCAAACAAAAGACAGGCATATGAATTGAACATTTGCCTCAAGTAGAT